ACGGCTGGGACATCACCACACAGGTAGGAGCCCTCCAGATGCCCATCATGACACTGCCCGTGGCCATCACCCCTCCATGGAGCATCTCAAGCCCTTCCTGTCCCTGCAGGTCGTGTCCTTGGTGCAGCTCCTGTCTGACCCCTACTACCGGACACTGGAGGGCTTCCGCCTGCTCGTGGAGAAGGAGTGGTTGAGCTTTGGGCACCGCTTCAGCCACCGCGGGGCTCAGACCCTGGCCGGCCAGAGCAGCGGGTTTGCTCCCATCTTCCTGCAGTTCCTGGACTGTGTGCACCAGGTGAGCTCCGAGCACCAGGATCTCGGGAGCACCGGGGCCACGAGCTCCTCCTGCAACAGGGAATGGTCCCAGAGCAGCCAGTGTCCCGGGGGTCTCACCCACGCTGCTCCTTGCAGATCCATCTGCAGTTCCCCATGGAGTTCGAGTTCAGTCAGTACTACCTGAAGTTCCTGAGCTACCACTACATTTCCAACCGCTTCCGGACATTCCTGTTGGACTCGGACTACGAGCGCATCGAGCTGGGTGAGGGCAGCGTGTGGGCACACAGGGATGGCAGCACAGAACCGTGTCCCCAGTAACACCCTGTCCCCTCTCTGCTCCCCTCAGGCCTCCTGTACGAGGAGAAGGGTGAGAGGAAGAGCCAGCAGGTTTACAAGTCCATCTGGGACTATATTGACCGGCTGAACAAGAAGGCCCCCATCTTCTTCAACTACATGTATGCTCCCGAGGATGGGGAGGTGAGAGCTCAGTCCTGCCCTGCACACCCCAGCACCAGAGGTCTCCTCTCCTGCATGGAGCTGAGGGAGCAGCCTCTTGTTGGCTCGACCATGGTGTTTGCCCACCAAAGGACTGTCTGCCACCCTGAGGAGTGTGGGCAGGGTCAGGCCCCTGAGAGCTGAGTCATAGACTCATGGACAGGTTTGTGTTGGAAGAGACCTTAAGATCATTCAGATCTTTCTGCTGCAGGCAGGGACACCTTCCACTAGAGCAGGTTGCTCCAAGCCCCTGTGTCTAACCTGGCCTTGAACACTGCCAGGGATGGGGCAGCCACAGCTTCTTTGGGCACCCTGTGCCAGCGCCTCAGCACCCTCACAGGGAAGAGCTTCTGCCTCAGAGCTCATCTCAGTCTCCCCTCTGGCAGGTTCAAGCCATTCCCCTTGTCCTGTCCCTCGATCCCTTGTCCAGAGCCCCTCTCCAGGTTTCCTGGAGCCCCTTTAGGCACTGGAGCTGCTCTAAGGTCTCTCTGGAGCCTTCTCCAGGCTGTGTCCCTGCAGCATGGTCAGGGCCATGTCCTGCCCTCCCTGAGCACCGCTCTGCTGCTCCCGCAGGTGCTGAGGCCATACAGCAACATCTCCAACCTAAAGGTGTGGGATTACTACACGGAGGAGACGCTTTCCGAGGGCCCCTCCTATGACTGGGAGCTGGCTCAGGGGCAGCCGGAGCCCGTGGAGGACACGGATCGACAGGACACTGGAGCCCCCCAGACCAAGCGCAAGATCATCTGGCCCTGCTACGACAACCGGAGCCGCGTGGAGCCCGACGCCATCTCCAGACTGCTGGAGGTGAGCACGGCCCCCGGGCAAGCACCGCGGTGACCCCATGCATGTCCCATGGAGGGACACTGCCCCATGCACACCATGGAACAGGGTTGTGGTGGGGTTGGTGTTGGTTGAGCCTCAGGACATGGACAGTGGTCCCAGGGG